CCCAAGTTACCCCCCTGGTGCAATACAAATTTCAGGCCACTGCTCCTTTTATATAAAATACATTTAATATCTTGCCGTTTCTCCGTCTCAGATCTGATATTACACTCATCGTCCACAGCTCTGCAGATTGGTACACTGAGCCAAAGGGAGCAGGTGTCTCATGACCAGTGTTGGGAGTAATGCGGTACAAAAGTAATTAATTACTGTAATGCATTGCTTTTTGCTGTAATGTGGTAATGTAAGGCATTACAGGGAAAGAAAATGGTAATATTTACTCGGTACAATTGTCAGTAACGCGGTAATTACAATGCATTTTTAAACCCAGAATCAAGATGTGTTCCTTAAAAATTCAAATTACGGGAAACCCGAAGAAAGATCCAGTATCTGCATATATGACGTCATTTATGGACTCAGCTTTGCGGGCAGAGAGGACGCCGCGGTAACGGCTCAAATACTCCAGCTGCCTCTGCCCGCGGCCGCTGTAACATTCACAAAATCGCTCCACTAAAACAAAGAAATTCACTTGCGATCGTTCATATCAGCGCATATTCTCTGGTATTCTGTACTTTTCTGACGTGCTTTGCCTCAGCTGAGTTCATAATCTGTGCCCCGGTGACAGTGGCGGTTCTACATGGAATTACTCCCCGGGCGAGGCCCCCTTTGAGCGCCCCCCCCCCCCCAACCGCCCCCACCACCACCACACCGCCCCACCTGCACGAACACACGTTTTCTACAAACAGGCATGTTTTATTAGAACGACTATTGAACATTCATTTTTCTAAGTTGCACATATTTACATTAATTACTATGAAGTTGTCAGAATGTAAAGCAATATACATTATATACTGTATCAAAATATATAGAATCAAATATACAAAAACAACTAAACTAACTAAATATTAAGAATATATGCACATAATATATAATAAATATTCTAAATAGCAAAAATATTTAACACATAACAAACTAAAGATAATCACTACAGCATTGCACTTAGAACAGAAAACACAAACTAAAATTAAAACCTATCCTTGATGCAAAGTCATCAATAATGTCATCATATGAAATCTGCTCCCCTACTGAGTGATTGATACTAATCAGAGCCAGGTTAGTGAGCCGCCCCTGAAACATAGGTGACCTCAGGTATGACTTGATCAAGTTTTGAAAAGCTCCTCTCAGCTTGAGCCACAGTGACTGGCAGAGCAGTCCAAAAGTTGGGGTAGATCTCCAATAGATCTTTATCATGATCCATAATATTTTAGAATTGCCTCTGAAATTGTAATTTAAACTGACATAAAAAAACTGTAGACTACCAAAAATGCCAACTTTTACAGAACAAATCATGTAAAAAATAATCAGTGCAGCCATCTGCAATAAATAAACAGGATAGTTAGTGGTGACTGGGGTGTTTTCTTCTGCTTGTAGAGTTGTTTTATTTATTATTATGTGAACATGATCAACATGTGTTTGTTGTTGTTCAGGCAGGCCACAGGCTGCAGCGAGCATTTAACAAATCCTAGTTTGAATCAGTTAAAAACGATTCAAGGAATTTTTTCGAACCATTTGAATATTCGTTTCAATATTTCAGCCCTATTAGCTCTGTTAGCAATTAGTTGACCAAATTTAACCGTTAAAATCCCAGTTAACTGGTTCAAAAAATTGAAAACATGCATCATGAGAGCGAACATACCTTTATCTTTCTCCTCTTTTTTCTTTTTTTTTTTCCTGAATCGGGCACCTGGTGGTTTTAGCCTTTTTATGTTCATCTCTTCTGTTTGGCTCTTGACTCAATAAGTTTCCTTTAGTCAGGACTAAACAATTTGACCTTGATGGGGGGGGGGTGAACACAAAATCGTTTTGTTTTTCCTTTTTTTATTTGGCCATTTCACACAATTCAGAAACACCTGAAAGAATGATAGGCCTGTGTTTATGATATTATGAATGAAATATGGAAGAACATCAAGATGTGATCGACTTTAGCCATGTTGATACAGTTGATTCAGCCCCTAGCTCATTTCATTTGGACCCACCCAGAGGTGAATTCCCCCGCCGCACCCCTCCCCTTCCTGTTCTCCATACACACACACACGGTGCACGGAGCGCCTGCAGCTGCAGGGGGCGCCAACTTGCTGTTTCCAATCCAGACACTGTCATATGACAGATAATAGAAAACCTCGGTGCGGCGCAGGTTTCTTTTTTCTTTTTTTTTTACTCAGCGCTTGTGCGCCCCTTTTGTGTCATGAAAAAATGCCGCCCCGGGCAACTGCCCTGTCTGCCCGTGCCTAAAACCGCTACTGCCCGGTGATTTCAACTAATTACTGCTGGAGCGCCGCGCATGTGAAGATCCCTCTGGCTGATTAGTTAGAAAGTAGGAAGTCTAGGAAACAGTTTTTTCTGGAAGACGGAGAAAACCTGCAGCATGCAGTAAGGTTAGAGAGAGAAAGGGCCGGAAATTATTCAAATAAAATCAAGAATAAAAGAAAAAAGTAGGTGGATTTCTCCCCAATAAAAGCAATAATATATATATATATATATATATATAAGCATTTAATATTTATACATGTGATAGAATCAGATCACCCCAGAAGTCAGTCCCACATCCAGGGCCGTATCAATCAGGGGACCAAGGCAAATAGGCTTGGAGCCCCCACCACCTCACTCCCTGCTCAGATGGCCCTATAAGATGGCAGCGTGTTGAGAGTACAGATTGTTGTTGCTTTTATTTAATAAACAATCATTTTAAAGCACTATTATATCTGACTGTTTTAACAGCAATCCTAGCTCAGACACCACATCACCTTCCACATATATGTCATGAGCTCACTGAGCGTCACATGACCAGATTCATATCAAAGTTGTATTTGTAAAAGTAACTTAAAGTAATGCAAAAGTAGTGTAATGCCTTACATTTTAAAATCAGTAATATTGTAATGTAATGAATTACTTTAAAATGAGGGTAACAAGTTATAAATAATGCATTACAGTTTTGAAGTAACTTGCCCAACACTGCTCATGACGTTAGACCAGCTCAGTGTCGATGGAAAAACAACAGTGAGCCACAGAACTGCGTAATGTAACACGAAGGAGAACCCAAATTCTTCAATGACTTCTTTTCTTTTTCTTTAATAAATGCAGGCAGGACAGGAGCTAACGGGGTTGTTGTTTAGTAATGTGATTGGCTCAGCCCAGTACAATTGGATCGCTCTTCTGCTTTTGTTCTCCAATTAGACAGTGAAAACATTTTTTAAGTGTCTGTCTGGAGCTCTGTCAGCATCTACTAAGGCACTCATGCAGAGGAACAAGTAGAACATTCTGGAATGGCCATCTCCGTCCCCACACCTGAATATTCCTGAACATCTGTGGTGTGAGTTAGAGAGAGCTGTCCATGCTCAGAAGCCATCAGACCTGAATGAACTAGAGATGTTTTGTAAAGAAGAATGGTCCAGAATACCTTCAACCAGAATCCAGACTCTCACTGGAAGCTACAGGAAGTGTTTAGAGGCTGGTATTTTTTGTTTTTGTGAAGCACTTCGTGATTTTTATCTTGAGGAGCCATTTAAATGATTGTTTTCTTTCTTTCTTTGTTATTTCTGCAAAAGAATGATGTATTAAATATTGAGTTAATTTAAGCACCTGCCTAATTTAGTTTAAACAATGATTGCACACTTTCCAAGAATGGTTGTCAGGTTTATTTATTAAGATTCCCTGCACTATTTTACCAAGGTGGGCGGCCTGAATGTTTTTCTGGGCTGATACTAAACGCTGATAATTTTCAGCCGCTTATTAGGGGTCGGGTCACGGAGGTAGCAGCCTAAGCAGGGAGGCCCAGACTTCTCGCTCCCAAGCCACTTGGGCCAGCTCCTTCAGAGGAATCCTAAGGCGTACCAAGCTGAGGGGCATAGTCCCTCCAGCATGTCTTGGGTCTTCTTTTAGGTCTCCCAGTTGGACATGCCCGGAAAACCTCACCAAGGGAGGCGTCCAGGAGGCATCCTGACCAGATGCCTGAGCCACCTCAACTGGCTCCTCTTGATGTGGAGGAGCAGCGGGTCTACTCCGAGCTCATTCCAGATGACCGAGCTTCTCACCCTATCTCTAAGGGAGAGCCCAGCCACCCTGCAGAGAAAACTTGTTTCAGCTGATTGCACCTGCGATCTCGTTCTGTCGGTCACTACCAAAGCTCATGACCATAGGTGAGGGTAGGAACGTAGATCGACTGGTAAACAGAGAGCTTTGCCTTCTGACTCAGCTCTCTCTTCACCATGACAGACCGGTACAACGCCCACATCACTGCAGACGCAGCACCAATCCACCTATCGATCTCACGCTCCATCTTTCCCTCACTCATGAACAAGATCCTGAGATACTTAAACTCCTCCACTTGAGGCAGGACCTCATCTCTGACCCGGAGAAGGCTTTCTACCCTCTTCCGAATCAAGATCACAGTCTCAGATTTAGAGGTGTCTGGCTCAGAGCCATGAAAAGAAAAACGACTAAGTGTCCAGATGCAGCGGTCCATGAGCTGAGTTCGGCTGCAGCAATGCTGACCTCACCCGGCCTCACTTGCTGATAACATAACTCTTATAAAACCAAGGGAAACCCCTGATATGTCCTCACCAAGCAAATACTTTTCAGAAGGCCACGTTTAATGCTTTTCCTCTCAGTCGTGGATTAGATTTTGGTTACGGTCAACTTTCATTGTCTATTTTTCGCCAACAGAAATGTCGGCCGATATCTATCATAATTTTGTATTTTATATACGTTTTGTTTTAGTTCACAAAAAATTTGTCACAAAAAAACTTTGTCAAAGAAACTAACACTGATGGATAAAATGTTTTTTGGCCTCATAAACCCTTGTCTGCCACATAAACTGTGAAAAGTGAACATTATGTAAACAAACAGGTTACATATCTCACCTTCAGCTGGAATGAAGAGGGCAGAAGCATTTACTCTGCCAAAATAAAGGTCCCTTTTAGAATTAAATGTAATTTATTGCACCAATATAAGTTTGACTTTGACTTTTATTCATCTCAATATTTAAATACATTTTGAACAAGAACAAAACAAAACAAACAATTTAGCACAAATTGTTTAATAAGTCTATTTTTTAACTTTCTTTTTCTTAATTTTATTATAAACTCATTTTTGCAGAAAAGCTCAACATTTAAAACCCAGAATAGAACAAAACAATTTCCATTCATGCCACTTAATATGCATTTATATTTTAATGGCACACATGTGCTTTCGTAGCTCTACAACCCACCAAGACTTCTTGTCATGGAAATACAGAAACTTATTTAAAATCGCTGGTCTGATGGAAATATTTCAGTCTCTTGAGCTAAAATCCCCCAGATTGGTTTTGTCACATGTTGGAATTAAAAACATTTTTTGCAGTTTTTGTTCTTCTCCGGACAGAAGAAAAATCTCTCAGCTACATGAAGATGTCCCCGTAGGGGGAAAAGGATCAGATGTTTCATCTGTGGACTTTCTGACAGCATCTCCACATCCTGCAGCTCTAATGGTGTTGCTGTTCTTCTCTCAGGTCTTTTTCCAGGTCCAGGTCTGGGCCTAGTCCGTCAGGCCAGCTAGTTCTGCGTGGTCATGAGGATCAGTGGAACTTCTTTGTCACCAGTTCCAAGTAGAGGAACCATCCTTTCTTTAAACTCAGAGTTTGTGTGGAAGGTGTAAATCTCTGTTCCAGCCTTCACATTATAGAAGGACACCTGACCCTCCTCTATGTCCAAGAAAATGCCCACCTGTCGCAGCTTTGGGTGATGACCTTTGACCTGCACAACAAGCAGACGTTCTGTAAGCCCTCTGCTATTTGAGAATCTTTAAGCAATAATTCAGTTAAAAAACAAACTTTTATAAAAGACCAATGTAAAATATAAAAGCTCAACGATGGCAAAATAAAAGTACAGGTGAAACTCCAAAAATTAGAATTTGAATAATAATAAATAATAATAATAATAATAAATGTGATTTATGAAGCACTTTATATTTCACAATCTCAAAGTGCTACATGAAATTATCTGAGTCCAGAACAATAAATAGAATAAAATCGAGAGTCATTAAAATAACAAAATGACATTTAGCAATAAGCTTTACTAAAAAAACAAGTTTTAAGGTTCTGTTTAAACCGTTTGTGGGGCCCTCAGGTGGACAGACAAATTTGGTTAAAAAAATGTTTGTCAGTAATTATACTTAAAGGTGAAACTAATACATGACAGACTCGTTACATGCAAAACCAGATGTTTCTACCCTTCACTTGTTAGAACTGATTACAGTTGATGAAAACCACACAATGACAATCTCAGACAAATTGAATATTGTGAAAAGGTTCAATATTCAAGACTCCAAGTGTCACTCTAATCAGCCAATTAATCCAGAACACCTGCAGAGGGTTGCTGAGCCTTAGATCACATGTGTCAGACTCAAGGCCCGTGGAGCATTTTTATGCGGCCCGCGAGATAAATATCAAAAATATATTAAAACTGGCCCGCTGGCCGATTTTACCGCAAAGACTTCAACTCCCATGATGCTTTGCGGCGTCTGCGCGGAGCCGACGCGCCCCCTCCTTTGTGTTTTTTCCAGCGCCTGCTGCCGGTGTCTGCAGCTCCGCTGTCTCGGACAAACTAAACACTCCTCTCACTCAGCTGTTTTCTGACGTTGAAGCCCAGAAACGGAGATTCTAGCCGCTCAGTAGTGTGTTCACGACTGAAAGAGAAAGTTTTCCATCTAACATCCAGACAGAGCTGATATAACTCCAGCGAACAGCGACACGCTCAAACCAGCACGGCTCTGTGGTTGTGTTTCCTCCCCGACACACAACAACGTGGTCAAGCTGCTCAGACATGTTCATCAGCACAAACCTATGTGAGCACCTGTTGTCATTATTATGACAACAGGGTGGCGGTGGCACAGGAGTTAATTGCTCGCCCCATAATCGGAAGGTTGTAGGTTCGAGTCCCGCTCAGTCTGTTGCCGTCGTTGTGTCCTTGGGCAAGACACTTAACCCACGTTGCCTGCTGGTGGTGGTCGGAGGGACCGGTGGCGCCTGTGCTCGGCAGCCTTGCCTCTGTCAGTGCGCCCCAGGGCAGCTGTGGCTACATCGTAGCTCATCCCCACCAGTGTGTGAATGGGTGAATGACTGGTTGTGTTGTAAAGTGCCTTGGGGGGTTCCAGGACTCTAGAAGGCGCTATATCAAATACAGGCCGTTTACCATTATTATGATGAAGATGAACAAAACAACAGGAGTCTCCTCCTCAGCTCAGATTAACCCCATGATGCAGGTATCTGGCTGGAACAGGTGAGCATCACAGTAAACCAGTGGAGCAAACTGAGCTTTAAATATGCTGGTTTTATGCTCTTTTTCTGCTCCAAAACATGAAAGTTAACAGGTGAGATGTTGCATTTTCATTTAAGATAAAATGATATTTTTATTTTGTTGTTGGCCCGTGAGAAAAGATTTAACCTACAGTAAACAGGAAGTGGAAAGGCTGCAGATAGATGAATAGAATAGAAAATCCCTTTATTGTTCCTCAGTGGGGAAAGCTAGACGTCACAGCAGCGATGACACGTATTACAGGAGAAAAAAGGAGAATAAAAAATAAGAAAAATGAATAAACAAGAAAACATAAATCCTGAATAGATCTGAACAATACTGATTATACCACAAGTACTGAATACCACTGATGTGTTTTATTTAAAACTGACTTGCTCGTGTGTCATTTGGTTATTCCACATTCAGTGTTGATGCAAAAATAAGTTTGTTTCCAAATTTAAAGGTTCAAAATTGCATATATGTCGATAAAGAAAATGTGCAAATTTGCAGTCACTTTTTCAAAAAATATTAAGTTTGGCCCTCGACTCCGTCCCAGAGTTTCATTTCGGCCCCTTGTGAGTGTGAGTTTGACACCCCTGACTTAGATGGTGTCTCAGTTCAAATTGGATTATTGAAATAAATGGACTTTTCAGGATCAGGAAACAGAATCGCAGCACAGAGGCTTCGTGCTGGAAATAATGGTAAAAGGACAGTCGTCTGGGAATAATAAGGTGATATAGAATGGAAAACATAAAGGTCTTGGGAATATTCTGATGCTCAGAAGAGAAAGTCTTCAGTTGGACAATATGCCAAGATCAAGATGGGAAGGACAAGCAACGGCGGATAGGCGTGGCGGTGTAGTGAATGAGAAGGAGTGGGGAGGTGTTGAGGAATATGAAAGTGCGGATAGTATGGAAATGAGGTTTTTACAGGATAAAATGAAGGGAAAGAGGTAGTAATTCGGATGAAGATAAAACAAGGAAACAGAGAAAGGTTGCATCAAATGAAAGTGCAGACGAAGATGAGAGCGAGTGTAAACTCATATTGAGATTCAGTGGGGGAAATGGAGTGAATTCGATGCGTCCGGTCAAACTAACATCTATTCTGAAAAATCAGGTTGGGGACATGAAACTGGCCAAAGTCTTGAGAGTCTTGAGAGATGGAAATTTGCTAATTGTGTGCAAGACTGAAGAACAGCGTGAGAAGGCTCGTAAAATGGGTGAAGTGGGGAAACACAAAGTGATCAGTATGAGTAAGGTGGGAATGGGGGATCAAGGGCCTAAAGGAGTGATTTGGGGAATGCCTGTGGAGGTATCAGTGGATGAAATCAAGGCTAATCTGAGAGGAGCAAAGGTGAAAGTTGCCAAAAGATTAACTGGTTTTCAGGATGGGGTGAAGAAAGAAAAGGCGCTTTTGTTAGCGTTTGAAGGAGAAGTTCTGCCATGCCGAGTCTTCTTAGGTTGTACGTCATATTTTGTGAGGGAGTACATTCCAAAACCCATCAGGTGTTTCAGCTGCCAGAGATTTGGGCATACGGCTAATGTTTGTGAAGGAAGGAAGAGGTGTCTTAGGTGTGGAGAGAATCATGGCTTTGAAGACTGCGGAAACGAGATGAAACCAAAATGTTGGAACTGTGGAGGTGAACATACAGATCCTTCTAAAAAAATTAGCATATTGTGATGAAGTTCATTATTTTCTGTAATGTACTGATAAACATTAGACTTTCATGTGTATTAGAGTCATTACACACAACTGATCATTATTATTATTTCTAATATTGATGATTTTGGCATACAGCTCATGAAAACCCAAAATTTCTATCTAAAAAAATTAGCATATCATGAAAAGGTTCTCTAAACGAGCTATTAACCTAATCATCTGAATCAACTAATTAACTCTAAACACCTGCAAAAGATTCCTGAGGCTTTTAAAATCTCCCAGCCTGGTTCATTACTCAAAACCACAATCAAGGGTAAGACTGACGACCTGACTGCTGTCCAGAAGGCCATCATTGACATCCTCAAGCAAGAGGGTAAGACACAGAAAGACATTTCTGAACGACTAGGCTGTTCGCAGAGTGCTGTATCAGGGCACCTCAGTGGGAAGTCTGTGGGAAGGAGAAAGTGTGGCAGAAAACGCTGCACAATGAGAAGAGGTGACCGGACCCTGAGGAAGATTGTGGAGAAGGACTGACTCCAGACCTTGGGGGACCTGCGGAAGCAGTGGACTGAGTCTGGAGTAGAAACATCCAGAGCCACCGTGTACAGGTGTGTGCAGGAAATGGGCTACAGGTGCCGCATTCCCCAGGTCAAGCCACCTTTGAACCAGAAGCAGCGGCAGAAGTGCCTGACCTGGGCTACAGAGAAGCAGCACTGGACTGTTGCTCAGTGGTCCAAAGTACTTTTTTCAGATGAAAGCAAATTTTGCATGAAATCAAGGTGCCAGAGTCTGGAGGAAGACTGGGCAGAGGGAAATGCCAAAATGCCTGAAGTCCAGTGTCAAGTACCCACATTCGGTGATGGTCTGGGGCGCCATGCCAGCTGCTGGTGTTGGTCCACTGTGGTTTATCAAGAGCAGGGTCAATGCAGCTAGCTATCAGGAGATGTTGGAGCACTTCATGCTTCCATCTGCTGAAAAGCTTTAAGGAGATGTAGATTTCATTTTTCAGCACGACCTGGCACCTGCTCACAGTGCCAAAACCACTGCTAAATGGTTTACTGACCATGGTATTACTGTGCTCAACTGGCCTGCCAACTCTCCTGACCTGAACCCCGTAGAGAATCTGTGGGATATTGTGAAGAGAAAGCCGAGAGATGCAAGACCCAACACTCTGGATGAGCTTAAGGCCGCTATCGAATCATCCTGGGCCTCCATAACACCTCAGCAGTGCCACAGGCTGATTGCCTCCATGCCACGCCGCATTGAAGCAGTCATTTCTGCAAAAGGATTCCCGACCAAGTACTGAGTGCATAACTGAACATAATTATTTGAAGGTTGACTTTTTTTTGCATAAAAACACTTCTTTCATTGGTCGGATGAAATATGCTAATTTTTTGAGGTAGGTGTTTTGGGTTTTCATGAGCTGTACGCCAAAATCATCAATATTAGAATCTATAAAAGGCTTTAACTACTTCAGTTGTGTGTAATGAATCTAATATATATGAAAGTCTAATGTTTATCAGTACATTACAGACAATAATGAACTTTATCACAATATGCTAAATTTTTAGAAGGACCTGCTCATGCTGGTTGTCAGATTATGGAGAGAGAAATTCATATTCAAACAAAAGTTCAAAATAAGATATCTTATTCAGAGGCAACTAAAACGGTTGGGAAAAATACAGGAAATAGATCTGGAACCTTAGTGGAAGAATCACCCAAAGGAATGGGAAAATAAATGGAAAGAAATCTGGATAGATTTGAAAAAGCTTGTAACATCCATTGCAGGAATTATTAATGGA